TTCTCTTTGATGCGGTGTCTGTGAAGTTATCCTTTTGGGACTGTCGCAGTGGGTGTTGTGTGATTGTGGGCTTGCGTTTAACCAACTCCAAAAAAGGAGGCTATCAATTCGGTTGAATTTTCATATGTTTGCTACTTAGGGACTCCTTCGATTATCGACGATTTTGGAAATACCTTTTGCTTCGGCTTCGGGTTAGCTTACGTGGTCCGATATTAATGTCATTGTTATAGGATCTTGAACTTCCGAGATACGTCAGGGGACTGTCACAATTTACATACGGAGAAACACACAGAAGCGGAAAAATTATTATTTCTAAATTGTATTATTATTTGGAAGTGGAAGTTTTCTTCTTCTGCATTTCGTCTGGTGAGTGAGGCTGCCGGGGCCCACTGTGTTGAAAGCTGGCCCGCAAACCTGCGGGTGTCGCAAATATCCATGGGCGGCGGTTATTAGTTAACATCAGGTGAATCGACATCTCGTTTTCCACCGCCTCGCGTAAAAAAATCGTTTAAATAATCGCCTCCAACGGAAATTGAATCGATAACCTGTCATATTATAGAGGCGAAAGTTTGTATGTATGGATAATGTTTGTTACTCTTTCTCGCAAACACTACTGAATGGATTTTAATTAAACTTTACAATAATATAGCTTATACATCAGAATAGGATATATTTATATACATATTTTATGTTTATCTGTCTTTCTGTCTGTATGTTACGCCTTCAGCCTATTCTAGGCACACGTAGTCGCGGGCAGCAGTTACCAATAGATATACGTCAAGTAACTAGTTGAAATGAAATAGAAAATGTGTAGAGAGTGAGATAAATTGAGTCGGTTCTGTTTGTTGCTACTAAAAACTTACGATTTCGCCATAGTTTACATTTTTCGCGAACATATTTCGCGGGCAGTTTACTTTGTTAGATTCACTAATTCGCCAAGGTCATTTGTTGTTTCCTAGCGGGATAGTCGACGTATGCGCGCTTAGTAATTCCTAAAGCAGTGAATATCAAAATAGATAACTATTTTAGATTCGTTCTTTTAAACTTTCCGTGTGCAATCAGCTTTTCTTCCGTTCAACCAATTACGTTTAAGTTCAATTTTTATTTATGAGAGCCGTATGGCTCATTGTCCGGTCGCTCGCTTTTAATTCAACATACTCTAGCAACCCGAGTTCGATCCCCGGTGCCGGCACCAATGAAATTGTTAATTTTAAGTGCTGACTTATCACGTGCTCAGTGGTGAAGGAAAACATCGTGCGGAAACCTGCATATTTTCGAAATAATAACAAAAAAAATATTTCGAAGATATGTGAAGTCCGCCAATCCGCTGTGGTGTCGCGTGGTGGACTATGGCCTTTGTACAACATTGGGATATATAGGCTGCTACTTTACTTTACTTTTACCTTTTTAGTTTTTACACAGTTTTTTCAACAAAGGTATAGGGTGAGTTGGCATTTCTGGGTACTAAGTTACGGCGTCTGGGTTCGGTTCCCACTGTATTGGACGTCATCGCCAGTAAAGGCAGTCATTTTTAAATACTGACGGGTGATAGTTTTACGTTAATGATTTCATACTATTTAAGACAATGTGACATTTATTTTAACGTTTAATTGGGTTCTTTACATCGAGTACGAAAGTGTTTTATTCAAGAAAATTATCAAGCGAATGTAAAAGTACAAACCGTTTCAATCCTTACTTAATATTATAAAGGCGAAATTTTGTATATATGGATGGATGTTTGTTACTGTTTCACGCAAATACTACTGATTTGATTTTAATGAAACTTTACAATAATATAGCTTATACATCAGAATAAGACATATAATATGTAAGCTATAATTTACATACATATTTTGTGTATATCTGTCTTTCTGTCTGAATGTTACGCCTTCAGCCTATTCTACGCGACGTAGTCGCGGGCAGCAGCTAGTATTGTAATACATTGTTTGATACTAAATGTACTAGAATCTGCGTCAGATGAAGCTTTAATAGTCTCGGGACTGAAAGCAAAAACATCAGTTAATACAAGATACTAGAATATTGAACATACTCTCTGTGCAATATTTACTCGGACGGACCTGCCTATTCGTGCAACAGAGAACACGTGGAGTGTTGCTTGGCCCCACCGCAGTGTTTATCACGGGTCGGGTGTAAATTGAAATCTTTTCCTTCGAATACTAATATATCGGAAGCGTAACAATCGTATGATGTAACAAAGCGCGTATAGAACTGTTCTCCTTGAGTCACTCGCTCGTTTGAATTGAATTGGACAAATAAAACCGCGAGGGCTAAGTGGCGTCTCTGAGTGATTCGGATGTCCCTTGTCATAGCCAACTCGCTTTTATTTATCCAACACCTATACAGATAAATGAAAGTGGAGTTTGTAATATTAAAATAATCGCTTAAAATTAATTTTACTAAATGCATATGGATGTATACATGGTACATATACCAAAATATATTTTTCTGTCTGTTTGTTACGGTTAATCTCTGAAACGGCTGGACCGATTTTGACGGTACTTTCATTTACAGATAGATGATGTAAGAAGGAGTAACTTGGGCTACTTTTATTTTAGAAATTTTATTTACTTTAAATTCCACGCGGACGAAGTCGCGGGCACAGATTACTATCTTCAGATTACTATCTTGCTCTACTGAGCATACATACGCTGAAACTTGAACTCTCTGTCAAGCTCGTCAAGTTTCGGTCTCGGAACCTGCAATTTCCTCCATCTTAACTCACTTGTGACCCCCATTAATCCGTAGAAAAGACTGGAAACGTAACTTATTATAGTGCATAAACGCGTTAAAAATCTAGGCTGGAAATACCAAATAACAAACAATCGTCTGTGGTAGTAGGCAGAGAATGGATTGTACAGTTCTATTTTCCTATTAATAAGTTTTATAGTTCTATAGAAGAGTGGAACGCACTCGAGTAAATTCCCATGCTCCTTGGTTCCGTATAAATAAATATGCCTCCGTTCTGAACGAGATATTCCAAGGCATATAGACAATACGATCGACATACCATCGCATTTTTTTTATTATTAATTTTAAACAGTTTATCTTTATATCGCTACGTCTATTTATATCAATAGGTATCGCTCTCATGCCCTTTGATTTTAACGTCTTCGAAGCTTTTCTCATACTCTTACAATCATATTTAGCTTCCAATCTGTTTTGTATCGTAAACATCAAATTCCACGATATGTAAAATTAAGCCACAGGTGATAACTTTAGATCCTAAGCCACCTTTAAATTACCTAATTACATAAACAAAGCAATCAACGGTAATCGCTAACGCTCTACTAACGAAATCATTTACGCCCGTCCATAGTTAAATGCAGCCAATATTTATAAATCGTTACGCGTTGCAAACATCATTGGTTGTAAGTAAACAGAGTACGTTACAATTCTGCGATTTGGAATCCGTCTAGATGTTTATTAAATCGCTTGTTAATGTAGATGTTGTTGCTTCTCTTGGCGTCAGCTCTGTGATTTTCTGTGGCAGAACGATGATTTTGTAGCGCATATTTGCGTAATGTACCAAAATAATACTAAATATTTCGGACACATTTTTAGACAACGTTAGTCCAGTCCCAAAACTAAGCAAGCTTGTACTATGAGTACTAGATAATTGATAAACATACTTAAACATTTTATTTGAATTAATGTTTATACATTTTATTACTTAATCACTTGGCACCTAAAAATTTTTTTGTGATATGTTCAGTGATAGGTGCTTTCTTTCCGTGTTCTTCTACCTCTGCATCAACTCATTTTTACATATTTTTTTATTATAATTATAAAATACATTATTACTAAGCAACAGAGACAAAGCCGCGGGTAGCAGCTAGTTGTCATTATTGCGATATCGATTACATTAACGCAAATTTCACGTCCACAAAACCGCAAACCGCAGGTAAACGAAACACTACCATAGGGCTTGACACATATCCCAGTTTTATGTCTCGCTAGATTTTGCACGCGGCTCCCCCTGCGACTACGAAACGGAGTCAGCAATATATCGAATAACATTTTACTTAACATTTGAATATATAACAGGAATGTAACTGTGGTAGGACCACGCAACTGTCTTCACTGTTGCACGAACGGTTAGGTCCGTCCGTGTAAGTACCACGACCTCACAGAACACACAGAAGACAAAGTAGTCGGGCCAACTTTATTTATTGGTGGCAATGCATTTGCATCCCTACGGGTGTTGCAAATGTCGATGGGCGGCGGTTATCGCTTAATATCAGGTGAATCTCCAGCTCGTTTGCCACTTTCTAACATAAAGAAAATAAACTCAAGTTATTGGCTTGGCCGTCGGGACCGTGGGTTCGATTCCCACAAGGGATATAGGTATTTGTGTACCACGGATAATTGTTCCGCATCTGGGTGTTTATTTCGCGGCCGGTCGTAAAAAATATAGCCAAAACCGCTTACAAAATGATTCACGTGTTGTGTCGACCCCACCTAGTGGTAATAATAGCGGGAGAAAGAAAGAAGAAGAATAGAATTAATTAAGGGTACACAAACAACCGCTCGATGTAGTGACGACCTGTGCAAGTGTGCGGGAAGAGGATGGAGGCAGTTGGCTCAGGGTCGTGCTTTTTTTAAGTGAGAAAGTGGCAAACGAGCTGGCGGTTCACCTTAATGATAACCGCCGCCCATGGACATTTGCAACACCCGTTGGGTTACAGATGCGTTGCCACCTTTTAATAAAGTGGGCCCCGGCTACATCACTCACCAAACGAAACGCAGAAATGTAACACTTCCACTTCAAGACGGTCCTCTGTGAGGTCGTGGCACTTACTCGGACCGACCTGCCCATTCGTGCAACAGCGAACACTGTTGCGTGGCCCTACCACAGTTAAAGTTTCGTGGCGATCTATGGGGAAGACCTATGTTTACTCGTGACATTGTACTCAGTGTACAGTGTACTCTTAACAGACTGAAACGATGATGATGATGAAGCAACCGCTTTCCTCCCGCAGCCTTGGCAGCTGGAGACAAGGACGAGTCCATGCCGCCTGACGCCGCCAAGCGTCACACGATGCCCCCACAACCTGCACCCAGGCCCACCATCAAGGACAAGGTACGTAGAAAACTCTGGAAGCCACATTACATTCAATCACATACACACGCACACACACACACACACACACACAGACACAGGAAAGAATTCATTTCCAACTTTTGACAAGTACTACGTTTCGGTTAATTTATTCCGTGTATGAAAACATATAATGTTACCCAGATCAACCCAGTTAAATAAATGCATCCAGTTTCCAAATATCTTGTTTACGATGTCTAAGGTCTTCCGGTATTTTTGTAAAAGTGTATTACACAAAATAGGATTTTAAGGATAGATGGCAAATACTTAAATACCTAGTTAAGTTCTGGATCTGTTGTTAATACTCGTAAATATATTTGCTAAAATAAATAAATAGTTACAGTAAACCACAGTTATCGTAACCTTGATCGCATATTGTATGTAAGTACATCTTAGGTTACTTACTGACCATTATTAGTTTGTATTTTATGAAAATCTAAATATCATTTTGTACTCTAATAGTCAAAAATGCTAAAATATATTTACTGCATCGTATTTTACCCCTTTTACAGATATAAAATTGTTGACAGGCTCTCAGTTAAATATATATTTTGTATCGTATTTTTTCATGGACTTTTAAATTCGTTTGCATGTTCCTTAAACTGTTAAAAATCATAACACGGTAATGGTATAACTAGAACTCTTACACAAGATCATTATACATGAGTATATAAAAAAATCACAATTAATTGTTAATCATTGAATGAAACCAACTTTATATCCTTTACTTACTCCTCAATTAAAGTGTCTTATCACATAAATTAACGAATTTAACTCAAGCTAACCTACGTGCTATCATATTATCATCGAATAATTAAAGCTAAAAAAATCTGATGGTAGCCACGGTTAACTAAGACATTGGCACATAAACAATCAGTCCATCCCCTAAGTCCATTTCGTCACCGTGGACGCCGTGTTGTACGAAACGCCAGAAAATAGATCTGAAATGAATCATGAACTGATCCGTAAATATATTTTCGTTTGACGGAAAGTTGGTTTGATTCAATGACGACCGGTTTCTGAAACACTGATCATCGTACAAATTTACTAATCAGTTGTCAAATGCCATTTGAGTAGCCAAAATGATGGTTAAACTCTCTGAATTGATCAAAATGATCAATTCAAAGAGTTTAACCATCATCAGTGTTTAGAAACCGGGCGTTAATCTCATTACAAGACACTGGTTGGTGTTGGAGCATGTTGTCGGTGCACGTTGCGAACGTGGCGTGTCTGGCGCTGACGTCACGCCATGTTCATTGTAACGCTTTCCGCGCCTTCTATGGACGATACTACCGCTTGGTCATTTTCGATTCTATCCTCAATGACGGAAATCTTACTACTGACAAGGTCTAAACTCTGACGATGCTATATTCTGCAACACTCAGTACACGAGACTAACGCCCGACCACCTCCCCCACAAAACATTATGTGGTATTATATTGTAAAGAAATAAATTAACAGTCTGTATATGTCCCACTGCTGGGCAAAGACCTCTTCTATATAGGGGGTATTAGAATAGAGTCTAACACGCGACCCGACTGTGGACTACACATATCTTAGAGATATTTGTTTTTTGTTATTATATCGAAAATATGCAGTTTTCCTCCTATGTTTCTCCTTCACTGCTAAGCACGTGATAAGTCAGCTTTCATTAGTGCTGGCACCGGGATTTGAAATAGCGAAAGTTTGGAAAGCTCGAGTATATCGAATTAAAAGCGAGCGTCCGGACATTGAGCATCAGTTAGAATACGATATATCCTAATAGTGAAGTGAAATAATCTAATCCAATTCTATATTGCCATCGAACATGTAAATCGCTCAATATTCGTGTTCTTAGCACTCTTGATTCTCGAACAATAAGTTTGGGCCGAAAATATGCATTAACATTGTCTAGCGCTGACCATGTCAGACATTACGGAATACAACAGTATTTATTTAAGGTGGACTTTTGATGTCGATGGTACTTGTCAGTGTTTAGACACAGAAAGGTAGAGATTTGCGTATGGTTCGTTATCGAGACCAAAGGTCGGCCTTTCGAGACGTAAAGCGGTAGTGTGCTCCGCGATGGCCCATTAACCCTTGCCCATTACGCATGCCGCTCGGAACAGCTGCGCCGGCGCTCCGGTGGGACCGCCAGCGCATCATCAGCGAGCTCCCTCGAGGGGGAGTATCTCGCCGAGCGCCTCGAGAAGGTGCCCCCATTTCCACGTAACGTAGGAGTGTAGGCGTTCGGGTTTCAGCACCTTAGCACAGTTTTTCTTGATCATCGACCCATTTCTGCACAGCCAAAAAAGCCAGCGATCACCAGGAAAAATTTCGATGGAAATTCTGACAATATTTTAATAGGCTTGTGTTTATAACTGACATTTCCTTTTCCTACCCTTATTGTTTACAGGACAGACCTTATCAGTACAGACCCTATTTCTGCCGGCTCCGCTGGGCTCGGAGATGTGAAAGCTTTGTAGACGATCTCTTTTCTCATAGAATATTTGGGGCAAAAGGATGGTGACAATTATTATAAACTTCCAGTCTTAACTGTAAAAAGTTTCTGCATTCAAAAAGATTGAGAACTATAGACTTAGAAACGCTTTTCAAATTTAGGCAAGGGTTTTAGAACTTTGTCAACTAGATTCACCATCAGCGTTGAAAGCTTAACTTTTTATGATTTTATTTGTCTCCCGAGTTATAATCGATAGTAATTGAATTACTGTCACATAACCAGAAATGTGCAGACAAATCGTTGTCAATAACAAACATCACAACTGGCATCAGTTGGTGTAGTTGGCTTATTGCACTTTGCGCACCAGAGAGTTTATTTTAGTAAGTTTAGTTTATTTGGACAAACTGAAGTCGGAACGGTTTATGTGTTTTTAGGGAGTGTTTACCCTTGAATTTATAGCCTATTCGGAAATTTGCAAATGTTTATTTGTAAAATTTGCTATATAAGTCTAAATTTCAAGGGGTGCTATTGAAATGGACGTTTTGTCAAACGGGAAAGTGGTCCGTTGGTTATATAAAATTGTAACACATCATTGGAAGGTGAACTAAAATTCACAATTAACAACAAATACAAAATTTTTTATAGAATGGCATTATATTTGATGGTCAATGATAATAAAATGAGGAAAAGAGAAAGCCAATTGCACAGCACCTTTCATACCATAGCTTGCATGTGAGTCCTTTCAAAATTTTCACATCAACCATAAAAGGGGACAAAACTACAGCGTTGCCCTTCATAGTGCTTAGTAGAGAATCAGAAACCCCGAAGAGCAGAAGTTACTATTGTTTTGGCTGAGGCATGGGATAATCTTAGTTTCAATACTGCACCACGTTCCCAGTAGTTTGCAGTTTTATTTGATCAGTGCACGCCTCATGTTTTGAAAAAGATCGTTTTACGACTGCATTTAAACAACTTATCCACCGCAGATACTTTTAAATGATGTTTAGTGTATAGGTTTTGGAACTTCTATCCACAATGAATCCATATCTATGTTGTTTTCGGATTGTGATCATATAATCCAATTGGATAAAGACCGTATTCATACCTCCGCTCTGAGCTCCCAAGAAGATAATTATGAGCAATAATTATTTTTCATTAGTAAATATAGTAACTTGGTGTTTTCAGAAGCCACCACCGGGGGCAGTGAAGGTGATGCCAACTGCGCCGCCGGACAAGAAAGAGGAGAAGAAAATCGCGGAGAGAAAGCCCGCAGAGAATGGTGCGTTGTTTGGCTCGTAAAGAATTCATGATTTCTGTAGTACCATTATCTATAATATCGGCTAAAAAATCATACTCGAACGGAAGCCCCACTTATTCTTTTTTTTTTTTTGTATTTGTTGTGATAGCGGCAACAGAAATGCATCATCTCTGAAAATTTCAACTTTCTTAACTATCATGGTTTTATGAGATACAGCCTGGTGATGGACGCACAGACAGACAGCGAAGTCTTAGAAAAAGCGGGGTCTCGTTTTTTTACCCTTTGAATACGGAACCCTAAAAATTATCAGTTCTTATTTAGATCTAAGTTCCCTACGTTTCGCAGCTTTTTTGTAATTGTCACGGATTGCTGAAGAACTGTCTATGCTTCCAAAGTGCCAGGATTTAAATTATTTATTAATCAGTTTCATATCGCATAACGTAGTAGGATAAGATTAACTAACTAATCACAGATTTATTTGAACCTTTAAAAAATATTGTTATTGTTTTAAATACAATAAAATGAGTGCGCAAATTATAATGTTAAAATAACAATAACAGACAAAAGAAACTGAATATTTAAGAATGTACCCGCTTATATTAATTTCAGGCACAGACACAACCAGCGATCCGGGTCTTACAAACAACGCCGAGACACCCAGGAAGTCTAAGGTGAGTGTTGTAAATAATTTTCAAAAATTTCATTTGACGTTTCGTGTTCTGTCCCAAGCAATGAGCAAGAATGGTAGACGACAACAGGCGTTTCACCATCAATTCAACGGTGTTATGTCACATAAGTAGATTCCTATTGTATTATACAATGTGATTGTAAATATAAATGTATTAGACACGCAATTAGAGCAAGCATGCATTTGAAATACTGCATTTTTGTTCTATCGCACTTTATCCGATTGAGTTTAAAAGATTTTTTCTGAATTATGTGTACGTAAATGTCAATTTTCATATTTTACTATTATGTTTTATCTGATTATTTTTTCACTACATTTGTTTTTTTTCCCTCCCTCTCCCTTTCGACCCAATTTGTTATCAGGCGGGAGGCTTCGGGCTTTTCGGGGGCAGGAAGGACAAATCGCCTAAAGAAGAAAAATCTCCTAAAGACAAATCTCCCAAATCGAAAGACAAATCGCCGAAAGAAAAAGACAAGAAACTAAAGGACGTTAAAGCGAAGGTCGCCGTACTCGATACGTCTAACGACAGCTCCAATTTGGACAGCTCTGTTGAAAAAAGTCCAGTCAAAGGTGACGGAAAGCCCAGTTTCACTAAACCTTACGAATATACTGATACAGAGAAAAGTCCTTCTCGCACAAAGCCCTTCATACAAGGGGCATTCAGCTACGAGAAGCCAATTTCTGATGAAAAGCAACGAAATCTCGATGAAAGCCAGAGTCCGACTACTCGAAAGGCGGGACTGGCATTCAATTACGCGCCGGGTGAAGATAAGAAAGTGGCCGAGAGTGCGGAGAAACGTAAAACACCCGAAGATCCTAAACTAAAAACACCAGGCATTGATTACGTTCAATCGGCCGCTCTCAAGGAACAGGCCAAAGGACCGAAACATCTCATAGATCCAACCTTGGCCTTGTTGGATTCAGAGAGAGCACACCACGAAACACCTGTTGCCGCTGCAGTGCCAATCACGAAGAAAGAAAATGAGATCCAAGTCGTTATTATCACGGGCCGATACAATCCAAAGACGAAGAAACTCGACGATGCCAATGGTACTATTATTGTAACTAAGGGTACTTTGAACAAAGCTAACGGAAAGGTAGAAACGGAGACGGAATTGATTAACACAAAGTCTGGTCAGGTGAATTTTACCGATCCTGCGACAGGAAAACAGGAAGTTAAGAATGGTCACGTTGATTCAAAATCTGGCCACATACTATTTACATCTGGCGTGATTGACCCTAAGACAGGTAAAATCGACCCAACGTTGGCACAGCAATATTGTTTTGTTGAGAAGTCTGAAGACAAAGTTGGTGCTAAACCTGGTAAGGAAGTCAATTTAGTTGTTATAACTAGTAAATATGATGGGAAACATAAAAAGCTTGACCCTTCACATGGACATGTTGATGTTTCTAAGGCTATTGTTGCACCAGACGGTATGGTTAGTTCAAACTACGGCCTGATTGATCCGAGAACTGGTAAAATCGATTACATTGATCCTAAAACTGGCAAACAAGATCCAAAACAGGCATATGTTGATCAAAAGACTGGTAATCTTTTAGTAACAACCGGCGTCATTGATCCAAAATCCGGTAAAATAGACTCATCACTTGGACAACAGTTCAGTATAGTTGAAAAAGATGCAACCAAGGCTAATAGGGAAGTGAGATTGGTTGTGATAACAAGCAAATACGATATCAAAAATAAAAAACAGGACCCAACTTTTGCTCACGTAGATTCAATCAAAGGAGTTTTGAGTGGTACAGACGGCAAGATTTACTCCGAATATGGAATTATAGACCCTAGAACTGGTGAAATTCAAGTGACAGATTCAAAAACGGGAAAACAAGAAATCAAAAACGCCCAAGTGGATCCAAAGACTGGAAACATTTTACTACTGTCGGGAGTTATTGATCCTAGAACCGGGCAATTGGATACTACTCTAGGACAGCAATACAGTATTGTTGACAAGCCAATTTCCACGTTCGCCTCGGTTCCTGGCAAGGAAGTTCAAGTAGTAGCAATTACTAGCAAGTTTGACGCGAAGAATAAAAAATTAGACACACCCAATGGATTCATCGAGGTATCCCAAGCCGTTATCAGTGATAAAGATAGTAAAGTACACTCGAACTTTGGCATTTTGGATCCTAATACGGGAAAAATTCACTTTACAGATCCAAAAACCGGTAAAAGAGATTCAAAACAAGCTACGATAGATCCAAAAACTGGTAGCTTCATTTTAACTTCCGGAGTAATCGATCCAAAGACTGGCAAAGTTGATTCCTCACTTGCTCAACAATTAAGTGTTGTTGATAAAGATGCTCCAAAAGGAATACCAGAAAGGCGTGTAAACCTGGTTGTTGTAACAGCCAAATGTGATCCTAAAACCAAGAAACTAGATGTCGCGACTTCCTATGTTAATACGTATCCTGGGACAATTGATTCCGATGACAAGGTTCACACAGAGTTTGGATTAATAGAAACTAGCACGGGACAAATTACTATCACTGATCCACTAACCGGTAAGAAAGAAGTTAAGAAAGCGACAGTTGATTCTAAGACCAGTAATTTACTCCTTACATCGGGTGTTGTTGATCCTCGAACTGGGCAATTGGATTGCACCTTAGGTCAACAAATCAGCATCATTAAGACGCCTAAAGATACATTTGCTGCTGTACCTGGAAAGGAAGTGCAATTAGTTATTATTACAAACAAATACGACTCAAAAAACAAACGGTTGGAAAATCCTAATGGACACGTCGATACTTCAAGGGCCATTGTTTCTTCTGATGGTAGAATCCATTCTAATTTTGGTATCTTGGATCCTAAAACTGGGAAAGTGGAACATTTTGATTCTGTAACTGGTAGACAAGAAATAAAACAAACCGTAGCCGACCCAAAAACTGGTTATTTCATACTTTCAACAGGTATTGTAGACCCTAAAACCGGTAAAGTAGATTCATCACTTGCTCAACAATGGTCTGTAGTTGATAAAGATACACTAAAAGGTCCCTTCGAAAAACATATTAATTTGGTCATAGTCACAGCTAAATATGATGCCAGAAACAAGAAGTTGGACCTCACTAATGCTGATATTAATTCTATTCCTGGAGTTATAAAAGAAGACGATAAAGTTTATACAGAATTTGGGATTGTTGAACCTTCTACAGGACAGATTACTACCGTTGATCCAATGACAGGGAAACATGAGATTAAAAAAGCAATTGTAGATAGTAACACTGGTAATCTTTTATTGACAACGGGTGTTGTCGACCCACAGACTGGGACTGTTAACCCTGAGTTAGCCCAACAGTTGTCTATTGTAAATAAACAGATCGGTAAGGTTCCAGCAGTACCAGGCCGAGAAGTGCAACTTGTAATTATTACAAGTAAATATGACCCTAAGTCTAAAAAGGTAGACAATCCTAATGGATATGTTCAAACATTACCAGCTGTTATATCAAGCGAAGGTAAAATATACACCAGTAATATTGTTTTGGATCCAAAAACGGGGAAGATTGAGCGAACTGATCCTAAGACAGGTAAGCAAGAAGTTTTGCAAGCAATAATTGATAATAAAACAGGTCATTTTACTCTTGCTTCCAATGTCATTGACCCAAAGACTGGAAAAGCAGATTCTTCACTTGCACAGCATTTGTGTGTGGTGGAATCACAAAAACGGGATCCCGCAAAATATGTTAATTTGGTTATAATAACATCTAAATATGACGTAAAGAATAAAAAATTAGATCTATCACAACCCTATGTTGACACGATTGCTGGAAAAATAGGTGCTGACAATAAAGTTTATACGGACATAGGGGTAATTGATCCCAGTACTGGGCAAGTTACCTTTATTGATCCAATAACCAAGAAACAAGACATTAAAAAGGCATCTGTCGATCCCAAAACTGGGAACCTAATGATTACAACGGGTGTCGCTGATCCTCTGACAGGAAATGTTGATCCAACTTTAGGGCAACAATTAAGTATAGTAGAAAATCCAAAGGATACCTTTGGTGCTGTCCCCGGAAAAGAAATACAGATAGTAGTTGTTACAAACAAATATGATACGAAAAACAAACGACTAGATAATCCTAATGGTCATATAGAGACTTCGCGTGGAGTCATTTCCGCAGATGGAAGAATACATACAAACCATGGCATTATTGATCCAAAGACGGGCAAAATAGAACATGCTGATCACAAAACGGGCAAGATGGAGGTCAGACAAGCTATAACTGATACAAAAACTGGCCACCTAATTCTTACCTCTGGAGTCGTTGATCCAAAAACCGGAAAGGTCGATTCTAGTCTAGCCCAACAAATTTGTTTAGTGGATAAAGATATCAAGCCTTTGCAAAGAGAGATGCATTTAGTTATTATAACAACAAAGTATGATCCTAGAACGAAGAAAATTGACGCAAATCAAGGTTTCGTTGATACAATTAATGCAACTATCACACCTGATGGTAAAATAACTACAGAAATGGGCACGATTGATACATCGACTGGTGAAATAACTAGAATTGACCCTGTAACTGGCAAGAAGGAAATAAAGAAAGCTAACGTGGATCCTACCACCGGTCACCTGTTGATAACAAGTCAAGTTATTGACCCTAAAACTGGCAAAGTCGATCCGACATTGGCTCAGCAATATAGCATTGTAAACAAAAAAGTTGTTCCACATCCCAAACCTGTTTCTAAAGGTGAGATTCGACTCGTTATAATAACGGGCAAGTACGACCCACGAACCAAATCAGTTGATGCTAATTCTGGTACAGTGGATGCTTCTAAAGCCTATGTTAGTGTGGAGGATGGTAAAATACACACTGACTTTGGCATTATCGATCCAAGATCTGGGCAAATACTTTACAAAGACCCAATAACCGGCAAACAGGAGTTAAAACAAGCTGAAATTGATTCTCAAACTGGTAACTTCATAGTGACATCTTCTGTGGTAGACCCTCACACCGGTAAAGTAGAACCATCCTTTGCTCAACAAGTCACCATTGTTGATAAACAGAATGTACTGTCTAAAGTAGCGCCCGCATCACAGAGATCTAGTGTTTCCCCAGCTAAACAAATTATATCTCCAGTAAAAACTCCAACACAGACCACTATTCAAACGCCGCTTAAGTCACCAGTAAGAACTTCTTCTCCCATCATAAGTAGCCAAGCGCAAAAAGCTTCGCCAGTTACATCAGTTTCACCCGTTCCAAAACCACCACCTGTTAAACCTACAGCAGCGCCTCCTGCTCCACCTAAAAGAAAGATTGTTAAAATTATGGTTATATTCACCCGAGTCGATCCTAAAACTAAGAAACCAGATTTAAGTACAGCAGAAGTGGAGCATATCACTGGTATACTTGACCCGAATGGTCAGATTGAAACTAAATATGGTGTTTTGGATTCGAATAATGGAAACTTAGTGGCAACTGATACGACTGGCCAGAGAAAGACAAAAGATGGTGTTGTATTCCCTGAAACTGGTCAAATATTCATTCCATCTGGTGCCGTTGATCCGAAGACAGGTAAAGATGATCCAAACTTAGGTATGATATTAAGCATTGCCAAACAGGACGATCCCCTTGTGGAAATTACTACCATCACGGGGCCGATAGACCCAAGAACAGGAAAAGTTGATATTGAAAATGGTTCTGTAGAACACACCAAAGGAAAAGTTGACGCTGAGACCGGACACATTTCGACTAAATATGGAGTTATCGATCCCTCAAATGGAGTTATATTTGTTACTGACACCTCAGGTGCACAGGACACAAAACCAGTAGAAATCGATGAAAACAACGGTCAAATTTCTATCATGGGTGTAGCAGATCCGAAAACGGGAAAATTAGATCCAAAACTTGGCCAAGTGCTAGTTGTGGGTACGCATATTGATCCCGTTGTTGAAGTGACCACCTTCGTTGGCAAAGTTGATTCAAAGAAAGGAATAATTGAACCTAAGCATTCCGTTATTGAAAGCACAACGGGACAGTTTAACCCGGACAGTAATAAGATAGACACAAAATATGGTCAAATCGATTTGGTCAAGGGCACGGTGACATACAATGATCCCAAGACGGGTAAATTCGAAAGCAAGGAATTCAACGTTGACCCAGTCACGGGCCAGTTCCTTCTTAGAGGCGGGCAGATTAATCCAAAGTCTGGTAAACCAGACAAAGACATTGGCCGCTTGATTTGCTTAAGAATCATTCGTAATAAAGTAGATCCTGTATCTGGCAAACAAATCGTTTCCAACGATCCCAGGAATGTTAAAGTAGATCCTAAAACAAACCAAATCTGGATCGCTGGCCCTAAAGACCCTCAAACTGGAGAGGTGCTTTACACTGCTGGCCAAATCGACCCCGTCACAGGTTATATAATAACCATATACGGACGTCTTGATCCGAAGACAGGCACGATTATCAGGACAACGGAAATCGACAAAACTCTTATTAAGGTCGACCCGATTAATGGGCAAATTTACACAGCAACCGGCGAGGTCGACGAAGACAATCAGCCGTTGTATTCGGCTTCCCAAGTGGACCCCGGCTCCGGTGAAATATACACCAAGCTGGGCAAAATTGATCCTCGCACCGGCAGGCTGATCATAATCAAAATATTCGTAATAACGCAGAAGGACGAAAAGGGACGCGTGAAGGAGGTGGACCCCAGGGAGTGCACAATAGACGAAACAACCGGCAGGATCATCACAACGAAGACCGTGTACCTGTACCAAATCATTGACCCGATAACCGGCGAAACAATCGACGTGGACCCCGACGACCCCAGACTGAAGGGCGCCAGGACCACGGTGACGCAGACGATGACGCTCTCCGGCAAAATAGACCCTATCACCGGCAGGATAAAGACCGAGTACGGCGACATCGACCCGGACACAGGAGACATAGACCCCAGCACGGCGGTCAGGGACCCCGTCACGGGGCAGCTGATACTGCACTACTCCCAAATAGACCCCTCGCACTTCGAGGACAAGAGCGGCAACTACACGATAGAGAAGGAGACCCAGGACCTGCCGGCGAACATAGACATCCAGACGGTGAACACGCACAAGTTCTCGACATTCGGCAAAGACGAGAGCCCGGCGCGCGGCGACGAGCCCAAGACCTTCACGGAGTACACCACCAGCGAGCACATCAGGCACCAGGGGTACGCGTCCAGCACCCCCCTGTCCTCGAAGATCCCCGTTTCGCAGAGGACGAAAAAGACCCCCACCCCCCCTGTTGTGGTCAAGACCACGACCAAGCAACTCCTCACCAAAAACGAGGAGGGAGTGACCCACAACGTCGAGCAGGAGGTCGAAAACCTCGGCACTGGTGAGGTCACCTTCTCCACTCACACAAACAAGGTTCGTCTGATTATTTACTTAAGATTCCAGTAACATTCATACGCCACCCTAATTCTTTCGATGTTTTCCGTTTTTAATTTTCATTTATCAGTTCATTGCGTGGCTTTATTTTTTTTTAAATGTCGTTGTTGTTGTTGTTTTCGTTGTCGAGGCTAACGTAGTTTTATACTCGCCCGTTCGCTAGTCACACGCGTAATTAGTTAAAGCATGCTAGTTTGACCGTTAACTAGGCGGAAAGCCTAGAACCGATGGAGGGGAAGAGCCCGTACGTCACCGCTCGGGCGGTGACCACCCGGACGGCGACCACCCACCACGACCTCGACACGAAGGCTAAAACGCAGCAGATGGAAGAGAAGACTGTAGCGCACACCCTCACCTCATCCGCCACGAGGCAGGAGCAGCGCGTGCTCACTCAGCAGGTCAAAACGATGGTCACCACCGGCGATCAGGTAAACCACCGTCACCCACACCCACACGCACACCACTATCATAAGCATGCCTTGATTGCCCCTGAGTTTGCAACCATCCCGCTTCCTCACAGAGCGAAGCGGCAGAATGATTTGCATGACGGCATTTCTATTCCGCCGACTCACAGGCCTCATAACTTACGCGGCACGCACCGCGGAATATACAATTATATCTATAATTTCATTAATCGTTTTAATTCACCTCTTTTAATCTATACCCTTTTATCCCATCGGGGTAGTGATAACTTGTTCCGATATCGCTGCTGAATGATGACTTCCAACATAAACTGTTTTTGAATCACCCTACTCTCTTAATCCTCTGTATTAGGGATGTCGAAAGTGAAGAATTATATCGATATATCGATATTTATAAAAAATATCAATGTCAGCCTCGATATATCAAAGAAAAAATATTGCTATATTTATACACCAGATATAGGTTCTAGAACCCCCTTTGACCAAAATATATATATTGGACTCCTAAGGAATCTGTGCCGGATTCGTTTTTATACGATTTTCGATGTTGAATATTTTGTGTCGATATATCGGATTGAAATATATCGGCTGAAAATATCTATATATATATATATATATATATAATCAAAAACATCGATAAATCGAAACTTTTTCGACATCCCCAATCTGTATTCACATCATCGGGGTCGCGGTAACTATGATTCCGTAATCGCTGCTGAACGATACAACACCGGTCGCGTGAACCGCTAACATTCGATCCCATCCGCCATTCAATAACACCGGGCAACGACCCCGCACTGTCGCACGGCGTAACGGAACCGAACCCGGCAGCTGACTAGGCGCGGCTCGGAGAGCTCGCTGAGCAGCGGCGACTCCGGCACGCCGATCGACCTCGAGGAGGCCGCCGAGGGGGCCTACTACGTCACCGTGAGTATCATCCCGGCCGGGGGCGGGGAATTGTCTCGTCTATTCAGCCACAGCTGCCATCACTGACCCACTCCACTCCGTGCTAGCTGATTGTCCGGCCACTCGCCTTAAATTCAACTCTACCGAGCAATCTGAGTTCTCCGTGCTAGCTCATTGTCCGGCCGCTCGCCTTTAATTCAACTCAATCGAGCAATCTGAGTTCCCCATGCTAGCTCATTGTCCGGCCCCTCGCCTTTAATTCAACTCAACCGAGCAATCGGAGTTCTCAATGCTAGCTTATTGTCCGGCCGCGCTCGCCTTTAATTCAACTCAGCCGAGCAATCTGAGTTCTCTGTGCTAGCTCATTGTCCGGCCGCTCGCCTTTAATTCAACACACCCGAGCAATCTGAGTTCTCAATGCTAGCTCATTGTCCGGCCGCGCTCGCCTTTAATTCAACTCAACCCGAGCAATCTGAGTTCTCAATGCTAGCTCATTGTCCGGCCGCTCGCCTTTAATTCAACACACCCGAGCAATCTGAGTTCTCAATGCTAGCTCATTGTCCGGCCGCTCGCCTTTAATTCAACACACCCGAGCAATCTGAGTTCTCAATGCTAGCTCATTGTCCGGCCGCTCGCCTTTAATTCAACACACCCGAGCAATCTGAGTTCTCAATGCTAGCTCATTGTCCGGCCGCTCGCCTTTAATTCAACACACCCGAGCAATCTGAATTCTGTTCTGAATCTGAGTACTCGCTTTTTCAATATACCCGATCAATCTGAGTTCGATTATCGGTGCCGAAACTAATGGAATTGTTAGTTACAACTTTAAATGCTGACTTATCACGCGATCCGCCGAGAAGGAAAATATCTCAAGGAAACCTGCATGGTTTGAAATGATAACAAAAAAATATTTCGAACATATGCAAAGTCCGCCAGTCCGCCAGTCCGCAGCGGGATCGCGTGGTGGACTGTGCCCTGATAGCTTCTGTACTGAGGAGGCCTTTGCCCAGCAGTGGGATACATGTAGGCGTCTAAGCACCTACATTATGTATTTGTGGCTTATGTTTTAGACAAACTTTACATAAAACACAAATACATAATGACAATTCCTCTACTTTAAATTTCAATAATTGCAGGAAAAACCATTTGTTTAAAGGAATTCATAGTGAGACGAGTGGACTGGGTTAGTCGGTACAATAAAGACTTTAAAAGTACCTTTGACTATAATATTACCGTTTTTAAGACGATCAGACAGATAAATCTTTCCCCCCGCGAAATTTGGAGATATTTTACTAACATATTGTAACGGACATAACTAAGGTTCACAAGGATCATGCACCACACAGGGGGAACACGTTTAAACGAAGTGAGTGGATAATTAAGTTATTTGGATATGCATTTTTCAGACGTGTCCGTGGCATGACTTAGGATGGAACGAGTGGCTTTAGCGTTAGTTGTATTATAAACGTTACATTTTACACGAACAGTATCGTAAAGGTGAAATAATGATTCGCCGAAACGACCCACGACCTACTCTAAAGCCATATGATTATTCGTACGAAACGAAAAGCTATTTGGACCGCTATCGAAGTCTTGTGTTGTATTCGATCCAAATCGCTTTTATGTTCCGGAGCAGATGTTAGCGCGGTGCACTTTTTATTGCATGAGTTTCAGTTCGAATGGGAATGTTGTAAAACGTGTGTGTATGACAATTGTACGTTTTATTTTAATGACTACTTATAAAAGAGTTTCATATTTTTATGTGAATAATAACAGGAAAAGGTAAGACGGTTCAAAAATAAACTTCACAAATTAGTAAATACTATAAAGGTTTGATTCCCGGCCTGTTTGTTAACTAAAGTTAACAACTGTCACGTTTTAAAAGTATTTTTTATATTTTCCGTAATCACTCGTTTCTCAATTGTGAACACTTAATAACCTTATTTTTCAATGGAACAATACTATAATAAATCCATTATTTAGCGGCAAAGTTCTTGTCATTAATGATTAAAGTTTGTCGAGAAATACAAAATTTTTGTAATGATCAAATCAATAAATCAGTACACAATTTGATTGAGTTTAAACGATTAAAGGCCCATTTACACGGTGCCAGTTTCTTGCCTGTTGTATACAATTAAATTGAAGCAATAAATGAGTTGCATGGTCTAAACAACAAATGGTCTTAACAATTATTGCGCGCAATTTATTGCATTCAATTATTGCTCTTGTATGTACAAGAAAATGGCATCGTGTAAATGGGCCTTAAATAAGAATCTGTTGCGTTTCTGTGTCAAGTCAATAAAGAGTTTGAATAGTGTACTACTTGCATCAGTAGTGTACATTACGTCTATCGATTGTTGTATAAGCAGCAGTATAGATTGTTCTCGGTGTACATATTTTATACATTTGTACATTTAGAGCAAGAACCCGATGATAAAATGTACTCCGCGAGTAAACCCGTGTACATTACAGATTTGTAGTGTACAGTACACAACATGTATAATACATGTACATTTAGACCAATCCAGTACCCAACGATAAAATGTACATTAACGAGCAACATCGAGTACGCTACGTATATGTTGCGTACACAATGCACATATTTTCTTGTGCCCTGGACGATTTGACGGTGCGCACAGGAGCCGGGCTCGTACCGCACCACCACCACCAGCACCGTGATGGGCAACGCGCCGTTCGGCAGCATGCTGCATGGCGCCACCACCAGGGTGAGTGCTGCCATTGCTGCCATCATCCTCACCAATGTATGACCATATAGACCGACAATAAGGATGATTATAGAAAACATATATACATGTATCATACATATATCTTTCGATCTTTAATTATTCTTATATAATATAAGTAAAGTAAAAAGTAAAGTAACAGCCTATACATGTCCCACTGCTGGGCAAAGGCCTCCTCTATACAGAGGGTATCAGGGTATTGTTCCACCACGCGGCCCCACTGCGGATTGGCGGACTTCACATATCTTCGAAATAGTTTTTTTGTTATTATTTCGAAAATATGCAGGTTTCCTCACGATGTTTCAGTCACTTAAAGCTATAAGTCAGCACTTAAAGTTAAGAACTTCATTGGTGCCGGCACCGGGGATCGAACTCAGGTTGCTCGAGCTAATATATATATTATAGAAGAATAATTAAAGAACAATTTAGAATAATTAACAATTTTAAGCGCTGATTTATCACGTGCTCAGGGAAAACATCGTGAGGAAACCTAAAACCTCGAAATAACAAAAAAAATCGAAGATATGCAGTCCGCCAATCCGCGGTGGGGTCGCGTGGTGGAATACGCCCTAATGCCCTCTGTACAGACGAGGGTCTTTGCCCAGCAATGGGCCATTTAGACTGTTACTTTACTATGAACATGGCGACAACTATGTTGTTTTAATTTGAATAAGCCAGTCACTAATACTGAACGTTTTATTATTTTGCTGTAATAAAACATTTTCTTTTTCCATTTTCAACTACGTCGATGTGTAAAATGTCATTTGATATCGCTGTATTGGTATCCTCCTCGGACCCCTTATATGTGAATTATCCGTTGCGCGGCGCAGACCAGCATAGGTCCCGAAATAGCCGAGAGCAAGCTGGAGGACGTAGCCGAGGGCGAGGTGGTCTCCTCGCAGACCATCAGCTCCAAGACGCGCACCGTCGAGACCATCACGGTGAGTTGCCACGCGCACGCACAAACGTACACACGGAAACATTTTATTGTGCGAGTAGGTGGCGATCCAGAGTTTCACCTGATGTTAAATGATAACCGCCGTCCATGGACATTTGCAACACCGTGGGATTGCAGATGCATGCTACTTCGTTCACCAGTGGAAACCCAGGGGTGATGTCGTGGTACTTATCCGGACCTAACCTGCTCATTCGTGCAACGGAGAACGCCTGCAGCAGCCTCGGCTGTTGCACGAATGGGCAGGCCCGTCCGGGTGGGTACCACGACCTCATAAAGTGGAAGTATGACAAATACTTTCGCGTTTCGTCTGGTGTTGTCATCGCATGTGCAAACCCTCGGGTGTAGCAGATGTCTATGGGCGGCGATCTTCACTTAACATCAGGTGAACCGTCTGCTCGTTTGGCAACTTTTCGCATAAAAAAAAAGAAAACACTACCCTGCGCTTAAATTTTTTTTCACGCATTTTACTTCGACTGTGATCGAGGCATTTTAATATTTTTAATGCTTGTCTCTGCACTCAAGATAAACATTAAATTGTAAATTTTTGTCGATAAATGAACAAACCCTGCGTGTTCCGGTTCCTCGCCCAGACGCTTTACCAACTAGGCTAAGGTTCGAAAGATTTTATTTATTTAAACTTTTACACAAAAAATCTGTGCAGCATTGTGTATAGGCGGACTTAATGCCTAAGGCATTCTCTACCAGTCAACCTATGGGTGACGCAGAGACAAAAGAGGCAGGTGTGAAAAGTTTTAAATCAAATTAAAAGTTAAATTAAAAGTTATATACAAGATTTTGTTCACCTATCTACAAAAATGTGCAATTCATAGCCGGCCTCATGTTTGCCGATTTGCCACTATCTCGCGCAGTACAAGACGGAGCGCAACGGTGTGGTGGAGACTCGAGTGGAGCAAAAGATCACCATTCAGTCCGACGGCGACCCCATCGACCACGACCGCGCCCTCGCCGAGGCCATACAGGTGAGACATACATACACACACACGCACGTAATTAACACACAACACGCACAAAACAATAACATTATTCTGTCTTGTAAGGACGTTTTACACACATAAATTTCACGCGGGACAAACACCCAGATGCGGAACAAGTAGTTGTCCCGTGTGGGACTCGAACCCACGCCCCCGACGCCAATGCCAACTTGGCAGCTACAACACGGACTCGACTACGACACTTTTGTACCGATCTAAGGTGTTACTTTCAAGGATGATATTATAAAGGTTGTAGATATATAAGGCTTGTAAAATATAATATGTGTTTCATATATAAATATGATTGAATGTCATAATGTAATGGTTAAGAAGACAGATTTTTCATAATAAACGACATCAATAAACTTAGAATAAAAGAGAAAAATGACATATACAAACCCATTCCTCGAAATATCATTTAATATGAAGTAATTACCGACCAATCGATTTTCGACAAAATTGAAGTGATTGAGGCAAAAGAGCAATAATGACAGATAAGAGTGACGGCTAATATAGTTCTATACTTTATTTTACTAGTTACTCGTTTGCAAATTAATTCTCTTCTACTAATATTTTGTGTTTCGCATCGACAGGAGGCAACGGCGATGAACCCCGACATGACCGTGGAGAAGATCGAGATACAGCAACAGAGCACGCAGCCCTAAAAAGCCTGCGCGCCATAAGCCGCCGCCATCTTGTCTTGCGCACGCTACGACAAAATGGCCCCTAAACAACCACTTAAAATTGTTTTCGTATACGTTACTCCATAATCGACCAAAATCCAGTTATTTATCGCCCGTAAAGAAAAAATTGAGATGCTGTGCATATTTTTTCCGGCCATTTGCAAGTGACGTTTCGAAACAAGATGGCGGACGACACATCTGTACATGGAGTAAACACACAGATAGCTGTAAGCGGCGCAACCACTGCGAATAATAATTAAGTTTATTTAATTAATAAAAAAAAAACGTTACATATGATCGATTAATTGTAAAGTTAATCGATTTATATTGATGTTGTTGCGATACGCAATACGTTGAGGTTTCTTCGCAATCGCAAAATTGAGCCCTCGAGGCGGGCGTTTTATTTTTTATGGGCCCTAGTTTAAGCGTACGACCATCCGACAGACCCGCTTGATATAATGTTGCCATAGTGATGAGAAAAAAAAGTGTTCGCTGTACTTCTAATGAAGAGGGTAATATTAAAGTCTTCGTATATAGTAGGTGTTCTGTCTCTTATTCCCGTTCGAGACAGAAGGAGAGAGCTTTAAACTTCTCACACGAGACAGACCACCGTTTTTTAGAATTAGAAGAGAGGATTGGAGAAGAATAAAAACTAAATGTTCCCCCCCCCCCCCCCCCCTCGTCTTGTAGTCTACCGGCAACAAAGTAGCGAAACCCAAACTGAACCGACGTAGGTTAAGAGAATATATTTATGAACATGTTGCTATAATCTATTTCTAATATATTACACCATTAGGTGCTATAAGTTAAGCCGACACTGTATTTGATGTCGCTGCGGGGCCGTTCTACATTCTAGAGGCTTCGATCGTCTCGGGAACGGCTTACGTTGCGTCGAAATCGGAAACCGGTCACGCGATTCGCCTGCACTTGACACGGCTTAACTGGCGTTAAACCCGATTGGGTTCCAAGTATTTAGCTCTAGTTAAGTAATCGACGTATCTGAGCGCGGCGGTGTCTCCAAGACGGCACGGAGTCGGAACATTTCGTATAAGTTTTAAACGTTTTAACGTATTCGCCCGAAGCTATTATATCGCAACGCCCCATTCTGATCAGGACAACCGGACATTCCAATATACCTGATGAATGGTTCACAAACATGTCTAGTTCTAACGCTAGATTGACACAAAGTGTTTTTTTTTTTTATTTCTCTCTAAATGTTTTTTTTTTATCGTCCCCTAAATGTTATTTGTCGATTTAGATATTGTCTATGGACGCGTTGAACGGATAGCGCGCGATCTGTGGGCAGCGATGTTTTTTAGTCCCCCGATACTTGTATGAATCGTTATAATCCGGCTCTTCAATTTCGGAGCAAATTCCGCTTGCCGCACGTTTTAATAATGAGCCGAATGTTTGTAACAACTGCCTTTTGAAACGCCGAGATCGCTACTCGTGGGGATTTCTGCCCGCAGATTCGGCCCTATCTTTGCTTAGACGGCATGGTATTGTGAAATTATTATATATTAATATATTTCTTAAACACGCTAGACGTAATGTTTTTATTTTTATTTTCTTGTAATACGAATAGTTTCTCACGAGGAGGTTTGAAATCGTGCTTTGATTTTTAACGTTTTTCGTCTTTATTCGGTATTGATATTATTATTTTTTTTTTAATTTCGCATTTTATTATTATTATTGAATGTCGAGAAGGAATCCATTTCTCTCACATTGCATGACAAAGACATTTTTTTGTCTGTTTACTTTTAGTCGTTCCTCGTTTTTTTTGACATAATCTTAAACATTTTTTGTAGTTCGATGCGAGTGGAAAAAGGTTTAGGATATATGCTAACACAAATGCAAACTATTCTATACTTTACGACCTTGTACTTTAGACCTTTTTTCCTTGCATCGCGTTATTCCGTCTTATGTTATCTTTGTATTTATTGAAGATGTTTATTTTTCTAAGAGTCCCGATTTCATATAATTTCTTATTCCACTTGAGGAAGTTATGAAGTAATGGAAAATTACAATAAAGATGCTTTGTTTTATTCACGGACGTTTTATTTCTTTACAATATAATCCATTAATATTTCACCTTTTGTTCGAAACAAGCACTTAAAATAATCATAAAATATGGTATAATTATTAAATGAAACTGGTTTACGTATTTGATCATGTTTTAAATTTTAATAATTCCCAACGAACTAGTATCATTTAATATGTATAATATCCGCGTAAAATCAGTAGAAGATGTAAATGTTAAAAACAATAATTTGCTGATAGTTCGTTGTATAACTGACGTTTTTGCGAAAAGTTACCAAGTGAGCAGGTGGTTAAATTGCCATGAACAATGTATTTTTTTCATTACAAAGTCAAACTAGAAATATCTTTATTCAATATAGGATTTTTTAAGCTCTTGAACGTGAACTAGAGGTTTACTCTTTAGACCTACCCAGAGAATAACGGCCAAGAAACTTCTCTGTTTTTTTTAACCGACTTCAAAAATGGAGGAGGTTTCTCAATTCGACCAGTGACAAGTTGTTCGTATTATAGACACAAGAGAAATTATTTGATAGAATTGCATGTCTTATAGTGAATACTATTTTTTTTTATGTGAAAAGTTGCAAAACGAGCAGACAGTTCACCTGATGGTAAGTGAATACCGCCGCCCATGGACATCTGCTACACCCGAGGGTTGCAGATGCGATGACAATCTTTTGAAAATTGGGCTCTGGATACCTTACTCACCAGACGAAACGTATTTGTCATACTTCCACTTTACGCCGGTCTTTTGTGAGGTCGTGGTACTTACGCGGACGGGCCTGCCCATTCGACAACAGCCGAGGCTGCTGCATGGCCCTACCACCGTAAAACTAAAACTTCCAATTAACACAAAACCATTTATTTTCGAAACACATGACAGTTAGTCCATAGCACTGATACAAGAGCGGTGAGCGGTACTTGACGCTAGCCGAGGATCGAACCGACCGCCTGCAGCAGGTTGGGGGGCTCTTGATAGCTGAGGCCCTCCTCCCCTAGGCCGTGGGGGAAGCGGGGGCCCGTCTGCAGGTAGTAGCGGCCCTTCCTCCCCTTTTTGGCCCCCTGCCCCATATAACTGTGACAAACGAACGGTTCTATATTTTTTTATGTGAAAAGTTGTTAAGCAAGTAGGCGGTTCACCAGTGAATACCGCCGCCCATGGACATTTGCAACAACCGTAGTGTTGCAGATGTGTTGCCACCTTCTAACAAAGTGGGCACCGGCTTCTTCGCTTACCACACGAAACGCAGAAGTGTAAATCTTCCGCTTCACGCCGATCTTCTGCGGGGCCATGGTACTTACCCGAACGTCTGCCCGTTCAAGCAACAGCAGACACAGTCGCGTGGCTCTACCACAGATAATCAAACAACTCACTTCAGAGCGAACTCGATTGTACTCGCAGACGAGCCTGCCCATCCGTGCAGCAGACTGCTGCGATCTACGTCAGCCATCTCGATAATACTCCCAGACGAGCCTGCCCATTCGCGGAACAGACTGCTACGTCAGCCGTACCTGATGTCGTCGTCGCAGCGTCCCGTCTTGAAGTGCTCCCAGGAGTCGCAGCGGCGCGCCACGAAGGCCGTCGGCTCCAGCACGGACTCCGCGAAGTAGAGCCACGAGCGCGAGTGGCTGCACGTCTGCAGCAGGCAGCCGGGCTGCTGGCTACCGCCGTTCGGGTAGAAGTCGATGTGCCCTAGCCGAGACGCAAAGACCTTTTATCCAAGGAAAGTGACCTGTACAATGGCCCCCCCCCCCCCTCCCCTAATCGTAGTTTAAAGTAAAGTAGCGACACAAAAAGTTGACCCCCGGTAATGCCCCCGTCTAATCCAGCGCCCCCTGTAATACGACAAAATGAGCTATACGGTGGACTTCCAGTAGTCCGGCCCCTGTCTAATCAATCCTATCACTGTAGGTATTTCTTGAATGTAGGTACGCAAACGTTATTTTGGGAAATCTTTACTAATGTAACTAATGCATGGTTGCTATTTGATTGTACTTTGCGCGTGAAGCGGTATGCTTACTGTATTGTGCCCGACGCGTTTTGTTTACTAAATTCGACACACATAATATGTAGAATTTGTAGTTCAGATGGAATCTTATCATTTGTCGGATTACCAGGCACACTTTTTCAAAAAATTCCGGACTATAGGGGAGTCTTAGGTAGTACTCAATAATCCGAAAAATTGGATAGTACGACGCTGCCCTGCAGTGCATTCTTTTATACAAACTTATTGCTAATAACAAAATTTATTTTTAAGAGTGACTGTAAACAAAGATCGGAAATCTTAAGGACACCATATCACTATGCCTCATGCGTATGTAAAGATCCATTTTTCACTAAAAACCCGGGCCGACCACCGTTCTTGAAACATTACGCGAGTTCAATTATACACATGCATACGCACACAAAAGCCTACTTTAAAAAAAATTAAAAACCGTTTTTTTCCGTTATAAAACGATTAAAACAGCGACAATACATTTCTTATCCTACTAATACTTCTGATAACGTATTGTTTGACATTACTTAAATAACACAATAACCACACAGAGGCATAACACATGGGCTACCGTCGAGAATCTCGTAGCACCGTAGACCAGACCCACTCACCTACGGGATCCGACAGTCCGTAGACCCCGCTGTCCGTGTGGATCGCGTCCACTTGGTCGGCGTCCGTGTCCTTGACCCTGAGGTCTGGCTCCACGTTGCTGAAGCAGGGCCCAGCGGGGTCCAGCGCGGAGATCCGCCCCAGCCTCCGGCCCGTCAGACTCTGCAACGTCTTCCCCGTGAAGCCGGAGATGTGGGAGCCGAGGCTGTGGCCTATCATGTGGATGGAGGCCGGATCTGTTCCACCTGGTGACGGCGTTTATAGAGACATTTATCCCGTCACCTTCATCTATCATCATCACACTTGAAGGTCTATAATAGTACAAAAATTTTAACACAGAGACGAAATTGGCCGTTGCGGGACGTTTGTCAGACGTGAAACATCAAAATTATGTTGTACAAATTCATGTTTCACAAAAATAAAATAATGGCGTACTGGCCATCGCCGTGTGGGAAGAACCACCAATAGATGGAGTATCGATGGATCGTACTTCGTGGCAGTCTGTGGGGGAGACCTATGTTCAGCAGTGGACTCAAACAGGCTGAAATGAATAAAATAAATTAATAAAGAAAAATAATTTGAACCATATATCAAAAGTTGCAACTTTATGCATTCGTAGTCATCATTCTAAGTTGTCGAAGCAAGCTTTTCTTCTTCGTTTAAGTGTGCAGAAAAGGGATGGAGCCATGTCCGGCTATGTCGTCCGAATTTTTGTTGACTCTGTGGCGCAGTTGCCAAGGCTTCGGCGTCGGGGATCGTGGGTTCGATTCCCACACGGGACAACTACTTGTGCGACCCACAGATGTTGTTTCGCATCTGGGTGTTTGTCCGCGTGAAATTTATGTTTGTACAAACGTCCTTACAACACAGGATTATGTTATCCTAAAGTAAGGCCAATGCTTTAAAAAAAATTGGCGCGGGAATGTTCGTGGTACGAGTGAACAGGCTTTGAGAGAGTTAGCGCGTTTACCACCCTCTACATTATTGCTACGTACCATCTGCGTAGCAGGCCAAGCACTAGGTCGCAATAGCTTTAACTGTGGTAGAGCCACGCAACAGCGTTGTTGCACTAATGGGCAGGTTTCTACGGGGAAGTACCACGATCTCACAGAAGACCGGGCGCGAAGTGCTATACTTCTACGCTTCGTCTTGTGACTGGAGTAGCCTGGACACACTTTATTAAAAGGTGGCGACGCAACCCTACGGGTGTTGCGAATGTCCATTGGCGACGGTTATAAAACTGTGAGCTCACTTGCCACCTTATAACATGGAAATTAATTTATGAATCTGCACAAAATAAATGCATAATTAACCTATGAATTGAAAAAAAAAACCGTAAAGGCATATTAAAGACTCAATTTGCATTTAATAAAATAATTATGCAAATGAAAAACACACCGCATAATTTATTCTCCGTAAGCAAGTGAGTACTTAGGACAAAGTGGCGGGAAATCAAAGTGCATCTTCTAACTATTTTCCCGCGCATTGCAAACCGGTCAATCTGCATTAATTATGAACTGAACTGTATATGACGCATTATCTTTGTGTCGCACTCGCGTTAGAATGATTCTCTAATCCGATAAAAATTATGCGTTGACTAATTCTTCACAAGCTTTTGGATATTACTTTTTTAATTTGTATTTTGTTAACCGACTTCGGAAGGTTCGGTAAGGTAAGGAGGTATTTTTTTATGTGTGTTCGCGGATAACTTCGTCGTTTGTGAACGGATTGGGGTGATACCATGATAAGGAAACCCGGATCTGATGATGGCATCAGAGAGAAATCGAGGGCCATCCCAAAATGTTATAGGTATTAACAATGTTTTCAGTTTCCTGTTTGAAGTCGGGTTTTTTTTTTTTGTTAAAAATTATCTCGCTCACTATACTGCATGTTGCCAGCGCCTATAACTGTTATGGCCTTAAAGAGCAATTGATGTTACCTTTAAATAGATTAAACTAGCGCTACCCGCGACTTCGACTACGTTGCATATTATGTTAAAAACTAGCGACCCGCCCCGACTTCGCACGGGTAGAATGTCTTATACATATAAACTTTCCTTTTGAATCACTCTATCTAGTAAAGAAACCGCATCAAGATCCCTCGCGTAGTTTTAAAGATCTAAGCATACATAGAGGCAGACAGACAGAGGGACGTCTTTGTTTTATACTATGTAGTGATGCATTTTATCTAGCATTGTAACAACACACATCACTAAAAATTGTTGTTTCTTGAAACTAATAGCTTTACATAAAATGAAGATATCACAACATTTTTTAGATAAGGGCCAAGTGTCTACGAAAAAATAAGTTAGTAAAATAAATTGATTTTTTTTGTTTAGTTACTCCGTGATGCGCCAAAGACTAGCGATAGACCTAATTATTTTATTTGTATAGATTGTGCTGTCGTTCCCTAAATTTAATGAATGCGGTTGTTTTGAAAATTTCATGAATTTGAGATATTCGCGGCGTGAGGTCATCGACCCCTTAGCTTGGTAATGCGTTTTGGCGGGAAACCAGAAGACGCAGAGTCGAATCCCTCAGCGCCGAAGGTTTTTGTTCATTTAAGTACAAAAAATTACAATTTAACGATAAAATGTATCAGCTTTCTTCGCGTCTTCAAGCATTATTTGAATTCTTTCACCGTGTGATGTTTGAAAAGGAATCGGATGAACCACCATTTAGATTAACAATATTTTCAAATATTTCGATTTAATCACAAATCGTACCTAAAACATTGTATTTGTAACCGATGTTCAACTCGATAGGTTTCGGCGCCACGGTCATTGATCGATTCCCGCAAAGAGCAAGTGTTGATAAAGGTAAACTCATTATTCCGGATCCAAGTTTATTCTTTCGAAGAATTTATGTTAAGGCGAAGTACAGTAAATCACTTGATAGTACATATATATGATATCTAATATGTAACATGTTAAATAATCGAATTAACATGTCTTGCGGTTTGTAATCACAACATTGCATTAGTGATCATCAGGAGAATAGAATCAGGATATGACGTGAGCATTCCGAGGAAATACATAACAAAAATAAATAAGTCTTTATCACACTAATGATATAAAAGCAATTTTTTGTAAGTAACGTAGCAATTTGTTGTATTTTAGTGGTTAAATAGAATTAATCTTGACTATTAATCAAGCGGACCCTTTTACCACGAACATCGAAAAGAAACACGTACGTAAAGCCGCGAGTAAAAGCTTGTATTTTATAAAATTAAATGGAAATATTGTAAAAAATATTTCCGTGACCAGCGTCCATTAGAATCGCCACAAATAGTCGAAGCGCTGAATAACTAACTACAGGAAACCCAAAGGTCGTCTCACCGATTGTTTCGAGCCGTTACATTTCTATAAACTTAGATACTCGTACACGGAAGCGTTGACAATGACAAAGAATTGTACGTCGAAACAAATCACGATTGTCATTTATGTTAGTCGTATTAGAAATAAGTCAAATTACGCACATATATATTTACGCAAACACTATATAGAATACACTTCTCTCGCGAATTTAATTTTTTTTTTTATAATAAAGCGGAAAAATCTCTTTTTAAAGTCGGTAATTTACGCACGCAATGTCGTACATGTCACATAGATATCGCTGATATTGTCATACAAGTTTAACAAGTATTATATGGTCAGGATAATGTAACCTATAACCTACGTAAACTCATTACACAAAAGTATTTTTTAATGCATGTATTTTGAATCTCTAATTAATTGAAATACTTTATAATTTTCACCTTTTAAATGTCTCGCGTGATATTATCCCCGTGATGCGTAGGATTTCAAACACAATAATTCAATAACAGTACAATGTAACTCGGAAGAACTATTTGTGCATCACGCAGTTGTGCGTTTGGAGATTTAACCCACCACAAATTAGCTAGGATCACTTAAACCATCACACCTTCCGTGTTAGAGTCCACTGCTGAACATAGGCTTTCACCACAGACTGCCATGAAGCGCTATCCTTGGCCACCTGCATTGACTTCCCGCACATTTGCACAGGTCACTCTAGTGCTAGAGTTCGTAACGAAGATATCCGCAGTAGAACAACGATAGCCGACATAACTCAAAGATTAGTAAGCTGAAGTGGCGATGGCTCGTAGAACCCATAACCGGGGAAGAAAGGTTCTCGAATGGTAGCCACGTAATGGCCATCACTGTAGAACGACCCCCCGTGCTTAAGGTTCCGTACCCAAAACTTAATGGTTTCCCATACTACCCCATACATAATCCCATACATGATTGTTTTGCCCTTTTTATAGATGATGGTACGGAGTCCCTTCGTGCCCTTCTTCGAGTTCGACTCGCACTTGGCCTTGGTTTACCAAAATCGTAAACCGACTTAACTGTTTATGATGAGAAACTTACTTCTGACCATCGCCGCGAGAACCTCACCAAGCTTCCTGCCCATGAAGCGCACGTAGGTGGTGGCGCGAATGTACAGCCAGCGGATAAACGGGCTCCCGTCCAGCGCGAGCACGCTCGCCTCCCCTGGACACAATTGGCCACGGATGTGAATCTGGTACAACGGTGTTGTACCAGCTTCACATCATATTTGCTTATCACTAGGTGTAACTTTACTTAACGCAATCCTGTGGACACAAGTACAGAAAAAAAATTAAAAGCAAATTAAAAAAATCTATTTTCTCTTTTTTGTTCGATTATAAAATAAACATAATAACAAGTTTGTAATAATGGGTGCTGTTTAAAAATGTTTAGGAATTTGTAATTTTTAAAATGAATTCCTGATGAAATGGAGGTGGAACTATAGACATAGTTCAGAACTGGACCGCAAGGCAATATTATTAAAGGCTTTTGTTATTGCTTTTAAAAGCAATCATTTAATTCAAGAAGATTAAGACATTCACTTTATTTTATTATTTATAACTTGAAATATAAAAAAAATAGTCAATATTATTTTTTCATCATCAATAACGTGTCTAAAATACCACAACCTTTGTTTACCCGAGATGCCTTTTCTGAGTTTTGATGGAATCTCTTAATTGACTCTTGGGTTCAACATTTTTTGACAAGAGTTCTTAGATGTCTCTTAGATTAAAAAACGTATTAGCATTGTTGCGTTGTCTCACCGCTCTTCAGGAAGGCCTCGCTGATGTTCGAGAAACTGTCCTTGGTGGGGTCATCGATGAAGCCGTGGACGAAAATGATCAGCTTACTGTCGGGGTCGAAGGAGCGTGCCCTCGTGATGGTGTCAGCCGCTGTGCTGATGTTGTATATCCTGCTGCTGTTCCTGAACGAGGAGATAAACGAGGGGTAACATAGTTTCTTCGCGACAGGCTGAAGACAGAGACTCCTGACGGAAACTGGTACACACCACCACTCTTGCCTACCAACAAAAACCGACTGTAGTTGGACACGACCTTCAGAAATGAAGAATAGGACGAATAAGACGAACATAGTATGACTAATGCAGCGTTTAAGGTCTTAAACTTCTTCACAGCACCCTCCCGTTTGTTATAAAGTTCGAAATCTTTACTATTGTTGACTTTCTTCTGGAACTGTTTCTCTTTTTGGTACCGTGTGTCTTTTAACTCAAATAATAGTTGATCCAATAATTAAAAAAAAATTAAAACTAGTTTAAAATTTCAATCATAGATTTTGATGTTATCTGTTTGAATGTCATGTCATAGGCTTTTGGATGATGTTTCAAAACGAGGGGAATAGTAGCCGCAATAATGCTAACACATTTGCGAGCTGTGGTGGGGCCACGCAACAGTTCGCTGTCACACGAATGGGCATATCGGTCCGGGTAACTACCACGACCTCACAGAAGATCGCCGTGAAGAGTGAGAAGTGGGGGTGTTAACTTCTGCGTCTTGTCTGGTGCGTGAGGTAGCAGTGCCCGCTTTATTTAAAAGGTGGCAATGCATCTGCAACGCTACGGGTGTTGTAAATGTCGATGGGCGGCGGTTACCGCTTAGCATCAGGTGAACCGCCAGCTAATTCGCCACATTCTCATACAATAAAAGCTCACTGTAATGATAAAAATAGTGTCTTTATTCACAATTACTGTGTTCTCGTTACCGTGTTTTGAAGGTTAGAGTCAGTGCATCCAGGTTTGGCTCCCGCACTCCCTTCAGCTGTTCGTACTCCACGCCGAACAGCTTCTTCACGTGAGCACCTGCAACCAAATCTCTGTCATAAAATGGTTGCCATTACTTGACATTCCCTACACGTTAATTTAATCTTTAAGAAGTCACGCTTATGACTCATTTTTCATTGAATTTCGTACATTCGGCATACTGAACACGCAAACCTATTTTCAGTATTTATCCGATTGACTCTCAGCTGAGTTAGCAGAGAGTTAAAGATTACTGATATGATTCTCAGTCAGAAATTTCTATTCTTTAAAGACTTTAACAAACATGAGCTAATTTCACGATCGTTTTAAGGCATTTCACTTAATTGCCTCTCCATTTCATCTAGATCCTCGTATGTAAGTAGATAGATGCTCGTATTTCATTCGTATCAACAATCAACAAACAATCGTTCTCTCTCGTCTTCCTTAACATGTTAGACAGAGATAGTTTATACCGTCCACTCGCGTTTCACTCAGCCCATACAGTCCCAAATACGATAAGTGGTCAGCCTTGTTCCCGTAAAGATTTGAACTTACGACCGAGATCGCGAGTCCGACGGTACATCGGCAAGGTCTTCCCTGGCATAGTATCAATCACTTCACTACATACTATAAAACAAAATCGTCCCGTTTTCTATCTGTCCGCATGCTTAGATCTATAAACCCGCGTAACGGATCTTGATGCGTTTTTTTAGTAGGTAGTGTGATTCAGGAGGAAGGTTCATATGTATAACACATGCCTAATATAGTAAAGAAACATAGTAGAGTATATTTAGTATCATAGCACCCGTGCGAAGCCGGGGCGGATTACTAGTTAGTTATACAATGTCAATAACACTCACAATTAGTAGACCCAATGTACGCGATAGATTCGTCTATTGGCTGCTTTATCGGTCTTATCTGTTGGTTGATGCCCTCTCCGATCGCCTCGAGGAGGTTGCCCTGCTGCTGCCCGGAGGCCTTCATCAGGGACATGTAGCTCACCAGCATCGTCACGAAGTAGCTCATGTTGAACAGGTTCTGTTGCGAGCGGAAACGGGAACGGGTCAGGCATTTCGAGCGATATAGCGGCCTCGGATGTGGATGTGACAGATCAAAGGAGCGATTCAAGCTCAGCGGCCGAGCCTTTAATTCAATATACTCGAGCTACCCGAGTCCGATCCCCGGTGCCGGCACCGATGAAAGTGTTAATTTTAAGTGCTGACTGAGCACGTGATAGCTCGCTATTGAAGGAAAACATCGTGAGGAAACCTGCATATTGTCGAAATAATAACAAAATAATATATTTTGAAAATATGTGAAGTCCGCCAATCCGCGGTGGGGCCGCGTGGTGGACTATGCCCTGATAATCTCTGTACAGAGGAGGCCTTTGTCCAGCAGTGGGACATGTATAGGCTGATACTTTACTTTATTTTACTAAAGCGGCTTCTGCTACTAAGGGAACAGTCTACTCAGGGATCAGGAAATCCCTAATGGCATGATGTGAAAGTTAGTAATATTCCCGAGTGACATGACTGGATTACCATGCCTTAAAAGCGTCTTAAATACCTCTGGTTGTTCATGTTCATTGCCCAGCGATTCCCATCGATTGAATTGCTACCTTGTCATCAAAAAGGCCGTTTTAAATTAGCTACATGCCGGGAAATATCAACGCTGTATAAAGTAACTAAGCAAAGTGGATATAGACTTTATTATATTAAATAGTCCACCAAAATATTCTTCAAAAAAAACGGGACAACGTGCAGAAACATAGGTATATAATGTATATAATTAAATTAATAAAAGTAAGAAAAATCGTACTTGACCACTATTTGAAAGGAGACTTAATTAAATTTAATGATGAAGAAAACCATTAGATATTATTACCGTGAACATGGGTTACATTTAGAAAATTATTGAAACGTGATAAAATCCGTAAATAATTTTAGATTAGTGACGTGCAGTGAATATTTGCGTAATAGTGTTTCTTATAGCTTGTTCCTATTGCAATTCATAACTCGTTTAAGCTTTTCTTGATGAATTGATATAAATAATCTTACCAAAAAATTGTTCAAGCCAACCACGATCTGAGGACAAAACAATTAGTGAATTTGCAATTCGAATGTCTCCTCTCTAATGTGCTAAAAAAAATAAAAAACCAACCACAAATCTTTAACAAAAGTTTTGAAAAGAAAAAGAAAGATTACGGTAAATGTATATAACTTTAACTCCGGCGTAATTCAAATCAAATAAATTTTAAACGATAGAGAAAAATCACTTATGAATTTATCAACAAGCAGAATTCGGCGGTCGCTTATAGTTTTCGAAAAAAATAAATAATGAAATAGTGTGATTTTTACTATAGAAATCCGCCATTTTTTTGTAAGATGTCAATTCAGCTCGTATTTCTTGGTGGTCATAAAAAAAAAACCTAACATCGAAGGTTAAGGCGGGAGCTCCGCTCCCGCCTGAACCTTCTAACCTAATCTATCCGAGTCGGATTTGCTCTGTGTCGGTTCTGTGATTCATTAAATTAAAAAAATCGGAATATCGATACGTGTATGATGTCGCCCGCTTCCACACTTAATCATGTTGGCAGAACTGTGTATTGAGTTTTTGAAGTCAAACAAATAAAATGGTGGATTTCTTAGTACCAAAAAACAAGTTTTAAATAATTTTTTTCTCGAAAACTATAAGCGACAGCCGAATTCTGCTTGTTTATTAATTCATTAGTGATATTTCTCTATCGTTTAAAATTTATTTTAATTGAATTACGCCGGAGTTAAAGTTATTTACATTTACCAAGATTACTCCCAAACATCTGAAATACCTTATCGTTTATAAATAACCTCTCAAATAAAATAAAATATTTGAATTTTGAATTTGCAAACACAACATTCGACTGCAATATAAACACGTATAAACAGCGCGGAGTGTCGGAATCTTAACTTCAAAAAAACGGAAAACAAAACAAAGAAAGCGGGTGATAACTTTGTGCAAAAAAACCTCATACCATTATTCAACCTGGTGAAAGATAAAACATAATCGAAGCAAAAACCGAACACACAAAACCATCCGGGCAAACAACTTACGCCACTGAACAGGCTTTTAAAAGTGAGATCGTAAACTTCCTCCGCAAATACGTCCATTTTTCAGCTGAAACGCATAATTGTTACCTTGGTTACCACATTAGGATATTTTTTAAAATTTTGTTCTGTTAGAAGATGGCAAGCGAGTAGACGATTCACCTGACGTTAAGATTTAACCACCATGGACATTTGCAACACCAAGGGTTGCAAGTGCGTTGCCACCTCTTAATAAAGTGGGCCCGTGTTACCTCACTCACCGGACGAAACGCAGAAGTGTAACACTTCCATTTCACGCCGGTCTTCTGTGAGATCGCGGTACTTCCCCGAAGGGACCTGCCCATTCGTCCAACAGCGAACGGTTGCGTGGCCCTACCATGATTACATATATCATACATGAAATAATCACGCTACATATCTACTGAAATCCAATTATTTTTACAATAATGAAGTTCTCTAAATCTCCCTGCTCGTGCATTGCCCTGCTTTATATTAATGGCTCCAATGTAAATGGGTCAAAGGGGGGGTAAAAATGCTGGAAATTAAGGTTCAAATTAAGTGGTGATGGTAAATTTTAAGAAGTGAACATAATTAAAGATAATAATTTCTTGTATTTACGCGATTACCAACAATTACAAATTAATAAATGACTTTCATTTATGTTTACGGATTTATCGCGTCTATTACTGTATTGTCAGGACAGACTGTCCCGTGACCATGTACGCTTGTAAAGGGTTCGAAACGTCGGGAATTAAAACAAAAATAAACGCGATAAATCCGTATCCGTAATTAAAGATGACACTATTTTATATAAAATTTTATGGATAGACGATGACATAGTTACGTTATTTCAGAGTAAAGAACGTGTCATAAAAATGGCAAAAAAAAAATAAAGAGACGGTAGCATAAAGAAAGCACCCAGTTTAAAGACATATTGAGTTTGTAATCTAAATTGTTTAGTTTGCCTTGTAACAATTCTATTAGCACATTCTACATTCGATAAATATCTTACAAAATACCAATTAATCCTTTTTAGCGCCACTTTTGGATAAGACAAAGGAATTGATGTCTTTCAGCCCGTCGTTCTTTGAATGAAATCGTTTAACGTTTCCAGCGACGATAACAACCCGTGGTTGTAAAACGTGTAATTGCCAGAAGCGGTTAATTAAAAACTAATCAATAAAAGTTTAAGAAAACTAACTCATCATCGATTTAACACCCGCTAAACATGAAAGACCTAAAATATCAAAATTTGACGAATAATACTTATGTGTGGAGTTATTAATGCAAGGTTATTTTTCCGAATCAACTTTTTTAAATTGTGATTTTTTACAAAAAAAAAATTAACAAACGAAATGCGCCTCTTTATACTTGCGATATACAATACGCTTAATCTTAAAAAAATCTCGGTATCGTAAAAAATTTGGTATACGGATGAGGTTTTCTTAATCTTTATAATTTATATACAAATAAAGAAATACTTAATAAATGACTTTTTCGGGACATATTCTGAATCAAAGTCATTCATATATGATATAATTAGTCCCAACCTAAGCAAATTTTGTAATATGGGTCCAGTACCCACCCGTAACTAAACATATTTAAACGTAGTTTTCTTTTCTAAACATAATAAAAAATAAAGCTTGTAGAACCGATAACTGGTGGTGTTTTAGAGTGGCAGCCTTGTATTGGCTATCGTAGTGCCAACCCGTGCCAACTGAAAGCATCCCTGGTCCTTGGTAATAAACTCAACCGCGGTAGAAAGGAAATTGAGACTGAATATTTATGTGAATATTTTGAACTAGGCGATTAGTTAGGGTTCCGTACCCAATGAGTAAAACGGGACCCTATTACTAAGATTCCGCTGTCTGTCTGTCCGTCTGTCAGTCTGTCGCCAGCCTGTATCTGTTGCCGCTATAACAACAAATGCTAAAAAATGCTGTTTTATATAAAACCCGCGGAACCCCTCTGGCGCGAGTCCGACTCGCACCTAGCCGGTTTTTATATTAGACGACGACCCGATTGGTGTACTGGATAGTGAACCTGTCTTTTGAGTCAGAGGAGTGAGTTTGATTCACACTACTAGAAAGTATTGTATGGTGAACATTTTTTCTACTTACTGGATATTTATATGTTTAAAATGTGCATGTTTACGGTGGTAGGGCCACGCAGCAGCCTCGGCTGTTGCACGAATGTGCAGGTCCGTCCAGAAAAGTACCACGACCTCACAGAAGACCAGCGTAAAGTGGAAGTATATGACAAATACTTTCGCGTTTCGTCTGGTGAGTGAGGTAGCCGGAGCCCAATCTTCAAAAGGTTGTCAACGTATCTGTAACCCTCGGGTGTAATATTGTATTAATATTTTTTTTTTAAGTATGGTATGCAAGCCTTGCTTACTTTAGGGTTACTGTGGAATATTAGTTGATTTCAACTGTGCGTGGAGTCATACCATAATTCAATAAATGAAGGCCATACTCAAAAAACATGACGATTTTATCACTCTACCTTGTTGCAAGTCATTTCTGATATGTCTAATATTATTTATACGTTATTCAAACAACTGAAGTTTTACAAAATTTGAAAATTTATAGCAATCTATTCAACAGATAAATGTTGAATAGAAATTCTTAATTATTTAACAAGCTTTTATTGCCAACATTTATATTTGGTTTAAATTTAAAATTTTATGACAAAAATTAAAATTATGATAGCAACTAAATTTCACAATTTTGATCTTTGAGTATCGTCATTAAAAATATTCCATTATATGGTTGCTTTTTTATGGCAATGGTGCCAAATGAGCATGGATTGCCTGATGATTATTGGTCACCGCTGCCCCTGGATATTTAAAACACCAGACGAGTTGTAAACGTGTTGCTGGCCTTTTAGATTAAGGTACAGGGTCTCTTGAAAGATTTTCTTTTAATGAAGATTTTATTTGCTAAATTAATAACTAATATTGTCTACTGTTTTTACAAACATAAGTTGCGATTTAGGCACAAAATTTCTATTAAAATAACACTCACAAAATTTTCAGGGTTCCGAAATTAAAGATATACCGCAACAAACTTCTCCTGTTTCACTTTATGATATCCCATACATTTTATTTGTCTATCGCTACAAATGTTTCGATTCGCGTGCAAAACAAACGGAAAAGAAACAATCGGCTTGCTGTGACAATGTCGCGAAATACACTAGTTTCGCGGTCCATTGCACCTCCTTTAAATGCTACTGCCTATGTCTTATCATGCTGAGACGCGGCAATCCTCAAAGGCGAGAGGGCTTTTACGCTATTACAACTTTGACATATAGCGACCGGGATCTCGAAATAAAATATTCAAGTTTATCGTCAAGATACGTAAAAGAGGTCGCAAGAAAATCACGTAAAGTCCATCAAATGGCAATCTAAGGTATTTCATTAAGTAACCCATAACGAGACTTACAAAATGAAGCGTAAAATTCAAGAATACATATATTGAAGACTTATCAAATGTCTGATTTATTCAATGTAGGCTTAATGAGCACCTTGCGTTGAATATGCGCCTATAAATAATACCATAAACGCCATATAAATAATAGCCTATGAAAGCTTGGCCAATGGGTCTTCTGAACTTTCGTCACGATGAACCGTTTTATTAACCTCTATATATATTGGTACGTAAAGAAGACGGCAAAGGCGAACATATTTTCCTTTAAAAATGGCTTGAAAAGTTTAGACAGACCAATGTCATACGTGTGTTAACGTTGTTATAATCTTATTAATATTATTACCCGGAGGACCGAGCTTTGCTCGGTTTGTTTTTTTTTGGTAAATCGTGTATTTCGGAAATTACATTTAGATACAAATTATTGAGTAATGAAATATGCATAATATTTTTCGATCTTACCGACGTAATAATAAGAAAATATGAACTGATGTTTTTCACAAAAGAAAGAACTTTAAAAAAAAAGGGAAAAACAACAAAAAAACAAACCGACAAAAAAAAAATTAAAAATAAAGAAAGCAATGATCTGGAATCGAAAAAAAAAAGTAAAAAAATAAATGTGTAAATGATCGTGACGCGAACCACGGCCGTCTGTTTTGGGGCCGCCCGATTACCGACCGAGCTATTATGACATTTTCTCTTTCGGCGAAATTTACCGTCATATTCGAATTATATTTTTCATTCCCTGAAAACAGGGATAAAACGGTATTTTCTAAAAATGAAACCTAGCTAGATCCATTTTTTGCCCCCGAATCTACGCACATACTAAATTTCATGAAAATCGCTAGAGCCGTTTCCGAGATTCCGATTATATATATATATATATACAAGAATTGCTCGTTTAAAGGATAAGATAAAGGCGAAAGTTTGTATGTATGGGTGGATGTTTGTTACTCTTTCACGCAAATATTATCCGGTGTCTATTACAAAGGATTTTATATTTGTAAATAGGTTATTTAATTTGCAAGTAAATTTATAAGTATATAAAATTGGAAAGTTATGGTTGTTTATATTAGACACAGATTTTAAAGGACCAAATTGAAATGATTATAATATTTTTTATTAACAAATGTGCATCTCTCAGGGGTCATGTGAAGTATCGAAATTTCGAATGGTTATTGAAAGAATGTATAATTAAATATGCATTAAAATAAATAAAAAAAGTTAACTTAATCAAATAAATATATTTATCTCATCATAATAACACATTCCAAATAAATAATATGTTAGTACCTATATATCATCATAATTGAGTTTGACCCCCACTACTAAAAAAATATTATGTGATGAACATAGTGTTTTTCCCGTGTCTGGGTGTTTAAATATTTATGTATTACATGTATTTATTTACAAAAATAAAAGTATATTTAAGTATGTTCATCAAGTTCCTAGTATCTATAGTAAAAGAGTTGCTTAGTTCTAAACATTGTGTAAAAATGTGTCCGAAGAAACATAATATTACTAGTATTTTTAGTAATACAATTAATAAAACTACCTTTTATTGTTTACTACTAGGCATTGTTACTTCTCCTAGTTGAAAACTGTGAATGAGCTGTTGATAATCCATACCGCTTCCTT